CCCCCCAGCAGAACAGCAGCTGAACTCTGAATGACACGAAATTTTATGGTTAGTTTATATCATGCTGAAGCAGTAAACACTGCACCGGTCACTGCCATTTTCTGCGCGGAGCAAAAATAAAAAAAAGGGAGGCAGATTTTGTAATGTGTATAAATATTATTGTGGCGAGCTTGTGTTATTGGCTGCTTCCAGCTGTGTGGGTTTAACCCATTTCCCCTGCATGCCTCCACAACTGGTGTTCCTCTGCAGATATGATGCTTAGCTTGCGCTCAGCTCTCGAATGTCCCTAATGTTGGGCTTCTTGCCGTTTGAAAACATACAGCTGCATTTTATTTACTGGCTGTGTGTTTTAAGCCAGAGCGGGGAGATAAATCCATCAGTTGTCTGTTGCTGTTTTGCTTTTATTATTAGTGCTAACACAAGGCCTGCCTTGCTGTCAGCTTTTTTTCCTTTCTTCTTTTTATTATTATTATTTTTGTGTGTGCATGTGCTTATCTCATTTTCTGCCTAATTCAATATCTCTCCAAACTGTCAGGTTGAGAACATCTAATTTAATTAAGTCTTTCAAGCACATTATGACTCAGTTGGTCTTCTTTCAGGTCATATGCATACTTACAAGGTTCCAGGTTCTTTTTATTTATTTATTTTTCTTCTATGTAGTGGGGAAAAGTACCAGAGGAGGATAGTCAGACTTGGTGCAGTCTGTTTAACTGCATGCATTAGAATGTTTTAGGAATTTTAACAGCTTGAATCTGTTAGCCTTAAACAACTGGGCCTTTCTTAGCACCAGAATGTGACATTTATAAAACCATTTATAGAATTTTAAGGCATGCAGTACATCATGTTTTGTTTTTGGCCTGTTTTGTTCTGCTTGGACTATGAGAAGTATTTATATCAGACTTTGACACATGCATAGACTAATTTATGAGCAATTAACACAACATATCTTTCAAAATGTCCTGTTACCTGTTTTCATTTATTCACAGAGAGCCACCATTCTGCTGCAAACACTCATCGCTCCACCTGAATAATGGATTTTCAGTCTACCCAGAGCTAAAGCAGGTTAAAATTGCTGCACGTTGCAACATTTTCCCAAAATATGGACTTCATAACTAATTACGTCCAATATAAATTTACAGGAAACACTTGGGGCACTTTGCCACCATTGAACTGCAAGTTTAACTATTGAGGTTTTATAGACATTACACTTGCCCATACCCATGGACCAAGTTGGACAAACATGTAGAGTGTAAAGATCATTTCCAAAGAAGGAAATTTATTGGAAATAAATAAATTTGTTTATTTTTAGCCCAAACACATTATAAATTTGATATTTTTTATTTTATTTGATCACTATGACATTCAGCTTTAATTAATAAATTAAACGGTAATCATCCAAAACAGAAATGTAGAAAGCTTTCTTCTTTTCTTAATACTACACATTTCTTTTTTTCACTGTTGTTTATGAACCTGGGTTACTTTCATGAATTGCAACAAAGAGTTCAAAGGTTGTTCCTTGTAGCTTGCATAATTCCCGTGTGCTTTCTTGATCAAACTTGCAGAACGAGCAGCAATGTCCAAGACTGGCGAGCCTCAGCCACACAGTCGTAAGTAAATATTTGTCTCTGATATGTAGCAGGAGAACATGTGTACATGCATTTCTGAATCATGCCTGTGAAAATGTATCTTCAAATGCTGCAAAGGAAAATAGCTAGCTTTGTTACTTTTGAAAACAGGTGGTGATTTGTGTTATGGAATGGTTAAAGATAAAAACTGTACAACAGCTGATTTGACTTGCTTGGCTGACAGTAGCACACAAATTCAAGAACAGAGCTATCAAACCAAAACAATTAGTTTCAAAGCATCAAAACTCTTTTCACTTCCACAAAACACATACTGGTGCTGACAGAGACTCTCCAGCAAGTCACAAAGGTATTTAGTTTCATTTCGAACGGACTAAAAATTATAGCCTCCGTTGCAATCAGACATGTTGGCATTCTCCATTATCCTTGTTTCACGAACTCCTGCAGAACCAGAGATTGAGAACGAATTTACACAATGTCTCATTAACAGCCTTTAGTCATTTTTGGTCGTTCTCTGAAAAGAATCCCTGACAAGTTCCTGACATGGTGAAAATGAAAGGAACAGAGAGGGAAAAGAGTTTTATATGTATATATATATATGCTGAAATGATTTTGGTGCAAATTGAAAACACCGTCTTACAT